ACCTCAACCGCTCTTTTTCATAATCATTATTATTTCGATTTAAAGCTTTCGTGACTGCAGGGATTCATATTCTTGGTTCTTTCGCTAAAGTCACGTAGAAGGGAAATAATAAAAATAAAACAATAAAATTCTCACTTTACCGAAAGAATCAAGAATATCATTTTCTTTGGTTCTTTCGGTAAAGTCACGTAGAATGAGAATAAAATAATAAAATAACACAATAAAATTCTCACGACGTTTCGGCCACAACGCAAGCGGCCGTTGTGGCCGAAACGTTGTGAGAATTTTATTGTGTTATTTTATTATTTTATTCTCATTCTACGTGACTTTACCGAAAGAACCAAAGAAGATGAATCCTTGCAGTCACGAAAGCTTTAAATCGAAAGGATATCATTATTATTACGACTGCTGGATGAAGGTACCCCCAAGCCGCGGCCATCTTTCATCCAGCACGTGGTACACACGAGCTGACGTCATCCCCTCCATCGCTCCCGGTGGACGTCTTCTCAGATGCGTTAAATTCCTCGAATGTGCCACTAGGTAATTATTCTTGAGCCTCGGTCATCATCCCTTTTGGCCATGACGTATTTTGCCCAAGGCATTTTTTTACGTTTTAATGATGCAATTAATATGCGTATGTTCTCTAATCCACGTGCTCCTCCAAACGTCCATCTCTCTATGCTTCTTTGGACTTTTTTTATTAATCTGTTTTTATTCTGTATTTTTTTATTTTTTTTAGGTTGAATTAAACATTATTTACAATAATTTTTCAAGCCATTGATGGGTGAAGATCTCCCCGGGCCATGTCAGGCACGGGGGCTGTTTGAACATACTTCACCACGCTGGTTATTGCAAGTTGGGTGGTTGTGGAGGCGCGCCCAGGACCGTTTCGGATATCACTCGCCACCCTTGTTCGCTGGCACCGGGAATCGAAGACAAATTGCCGAATTCGTAACATTGTGCAAAGAACCACTGAACCACCGCTCCCTGTATTTTATTCAACCAAGTAAAAAATTCCCACGGGATAGAAATATATAGAACTTCCCTTCTGGAATAGCGTTAGCTCAATGTGATAACACATCCTGTTTTCGTGTTATGAATTAGTGTATCGTCTTACAGTGCTGAGAGTAATTGTTTTGTAAAATTCAGTAATACCATTCGAAAACGTGTATGTAAGGTATATATATCGGTGTAAGTGCCTGGCTATAGAGTGACTTGTCAGTATTTCAATGGCAGGGGAACGAACGTGCGTTCACATTAAATAATTAAGATATGAGCCCTTTCGCAAACAGTGCAGCTTGAAATATTTGACTTTCCCCTTCAAATATTTTTGGACGTTCGATCAAATATTCCCTAATTCTATTCCAACCGTGCTATCACGAGAACAATCGATTGCCATTCATAATTCTGCAGCTAGCAGTGCATCACCCTGTGTTGGAGAAAACTGCCCTGGAAGATGACATCAAATCACTTTTTTTATATCGCTTTAAATAAATATATTCATCCACACTCGGGACACACCTTCGATAATAACTCGTTGGTCATACGTCAATCAAACTTAAAATATTCTCTTAAGAGCTGGGGGGAAAAATAATTTAATGCAATGTGCTTTGTGCATCGGTGACCAGGCGAACGCCAAATGAAGCCGTGACACACTGTTCTCAAGTCGTGTCGGATTATCCCAAGTAGCAAAAGTAGCTACATATGTTGTAGCTACGGGCCCCGCACTTTCAAGGGCCCCGCGCTAAAATTATTTCAAGCTATCAATTCCGGTTCATTGATTCTGCACTTGCTCTATTACTATAGTACTATACTGCCTTCAACTTTTATGAACGACTGGTTGTTTAATGTTAGCGATTTGTCGTATTATCTGGGTGTATAGCAAATGAAAAAATACAATTACTTTGCTATGCAAGTTCAACATTTGTGTTTTAATATTTACGTGTGTTTTTTGTTATTTAGGGCCCCTTTATAACATATGCTACAGATCCCGCACTAGCTTAATCCGGCACTGTTCTCAAGTCTAAACTGGTCCTGGCCACCCCTAGATTGACTCGGCCTAAAATTAACAAAATGCATGATGTGCTTTCTAGCCACTATCTTGGATAATAAGAAAAAAATCATAGACAGGTAGACAAGTGTTTGTTTCATCCACATAAATTAACTAAATAACACTGGCTCCATAAGTCAATTAGTCTTCACGACCAATATTTTCCTCCAGCGTTTGTCGAAGCTGGCAAACCCTGGACCGGTTTCTTGTTTAATGGGTCTCGTCTGCAAGTTGGGGCCTGTTTTAAAAATAAAATGCCGCCAAGTTGTCTCGATGTCGATGTAGAGGCAAGATCCTTCGAACTCCACGAAGCCCGTTCGGATCCAGTAGAGTCCAGCATGCTGCTGATGAAAATCGTGTAGTTGAAGCCAGTCGTGGCTTTGTCTGTGACTGGAAATTATTGATTTAAAGCTTTCGTGACTACAGGGATTCATCTTCTGGGTTCTTTCGGTAGAAGATGGAAATTATTGGTTCAGAAGGCGCATAGGCCGATGGACTATGACGTCGTCGTAAATCATTTTTTGCTGTTGACTGGCTACGAAGGAAATAACTATTGACCACCCTCATCAATAAAGCGAGTGTCACGTTTCAGGGTCACGGTTCGATTAAATAATTTATTAGTTTTTTATGTTATGGTAGATATGCCTCAAGTAGCGGGTGACGGTTTATGCGAACGCATTCAATGAAATTTACAGAACTCTGGAAATATCAGTTCCAGCACAGACGATTCCACGCTTGTATCGGAGAGCTTAAAAACCGATAATCACCGATTGATTGGAGCATTTTAACATACGTACAGTCGGCTTTCGCGACCAATGTTACGATTCATGAGAGATGTTGGGTGAGGTCACGTGAGTAAAATGCAGCAATCGCCTGATGATGTCGGTTGTAACTACCAGCGAAACGTCGTACCTAATTGTTAGAAGTGTGTAGATTTCTCTCCAACGCATCGGTGTGCTGAAGCAATACCAAACCACCACGTTTCTTCACGTGACTGTGTAGGGTGGAGGGGAGGTGTACGACACATTTTGGCATTGTACTTGCGCGATCTGACCCAACAATCAATGACGAATCATAGTGGAATCATCGTTACATGTGTACAGTACACGTATAGCCCTTTGTCAATCCACCGCTGGATGAGGACCTCCCAACATACTTCACCACGTTGGGGAGCGTGGGAGCATATAAGTACAATACAATTCATTTCCATGTAGCCCCAGAGCCTATAATCAATCTGTTGGTCGCCCATCCAAGCACTAACAAGGCCCAGTCGTGCTTAGTTTCCGAGATCTGACAGGTTCGGACACATTCCAGGTGATCTGATCATAGGCTGCACCCATCCTGCATTTAATTAAAACACTTCAATTATTTTGTAACTCTGCATACAAATATGAATTCACATTTGTTCATCTATCGGCAAACTGGCCTCCTGGAATGATGTTAATCAGCAGTCAGGCTTGCTGAAAAAAATATACTGCTGGTTTGCCAGATGTTATTGGCAAGAGCGCTCTTTCAAATCGATGGGGCCTGGTGTGATGTGTGATGCCCTCACCATTGCTCGGGGAGACAGAGGCAGCTTACGCCACCTCGTGTGGCGTGCAGGCCTTAATAGGTGCTCGCTAACAGCAGCACTTACCGCCACAGTGTGTGTGCGCAGGGTTAGATTGAGTGTCATCGTTTTTTTTGCATTGATTACTTCCCCTTTAATCTTTCACCATCACCCATGCTGGGTGGCAAGCGCCTTATATTTAATGTTTCAGAATCTCAGTTCTGCTCAAAACAAAAAAAAGTGAAACAGTACACGGAATGTCGATCTCAGTCAAGAGGAACGTAACTATTTTGATTTTGGCGGACAACTGGTTAACAAATACCGCACACAGAGCGATGCAGTGACTTTCGTGACCAAATGACCAGGCGATGTGAATACTTCGGTGATATTTTCCTGGCAGTGATGCGCAAGCACACGTGACCACAATAACAACAAAGCTCTACGCATTCGTAACTCAGCATCTGCATTTGTCCTGGATAAATCCTATGAGCTGTGAAGCTCTTTTTCACGGACGGCCTTTAAATGGGAACGTAGAAAATAGGTGACGTTTCGGGCATTGGCCCGCGATGTTAACTCCCTTGCCTGGTATGCAGGAGGTTATGGGTTCGATCCTGAGTCTGACACTTGCTGTATATCTGGAGTTGGCATGTTCTTTTCTCGTGGTCGCATGGATTTTTCTCCGGGTCCTCCGGTTTTTCCCTTCACATTTAGAATCAACGTGCTTTTCGACTATTTGGCTGATATAAATTCCCTCATGTTAAGTAACTTCGTTGCGCTAGCATTTGTGATGGTCAGGTCGCTTCTGAAAGAACAGCTTCATAGCTCAGCGTGGGCCTTATATGGCAAAATATTTAATATATATGTCGTTTCGTTCGTTGGATACCTTCTTAGGAACATCAATGCGTTGAAGAATGACGCATTGCCCGAGCCTGGATGACGATGAGTCGTTAGGTGTCGCTGTGGTGAGTGTTGTCAATTCGGGTGTGCAAAAGGAAAAAAAAAGACAACTCAGCCAAGGGACACTCGTGTCAGCTGGGCGGGTTTGCTCGGTGACAGAAGAGGTGTGGTGGTGGTGGTGTTATTGAGACTCCCATTGGCGTTACACCGCGCGTGCCAAGAATGTACACAGCACAGATGCAGCCACCCGCTCGCACATAGACTCGCTCGCAGACTCGCACTAGGAGAACTCACTCAACTCAACTCACTCAACAGACGCGTAGAAGGCAGAGAACGCGTAGACTCGTCCACAGCCGAGGAGGGCATACTCGCCGACTCGTAGACTCGCTCACAAACATACACGCGAACTACACACGGCACACCCACTCACTCAAACTACACACAGGCAACACACAACGCACACACACTCACCGTCATCACTCGTAAATTCACGTACATTACATACACACAAAGCGACACACAGAGACTCACTTCCAAACCACGCACACACTGCACAGACACACGGATTACACAACACCATTGACACATACACACAGATTGCACAGACTCACTGACTCACACATCACACTGATTCACCGACAAACACAGCGAGCGCGCGGCCGAGTGGACACGCGGTGGACACGCAACTTGAACGCCCAGCAGCAGCAGCAGCGACCTGGGATCGAACATCCCTGGGACATCCTCCGACTTGTGCCAGCCACACAGCAGAGCCGTTACCGGTACGAGTCGGTCTCTCACGGTCGCAGTCGCCGAGAACCACGGTGGCGTTCCTCGCGGGGTTACACATCAAGTTGCCGGAGACTAAAATAGTAAGGTTCTAATCCGGTGACGGGCGAGGGTAGGTGTGTGTATATATAATGTGTGTCCGTTCGGTTCTTAAGCAGCAGCAGCTTCTTGACGCGTTAATATCGATTGGTTCATGAGCTCGAGTTACATGTCACACGGGGTGCGCAGGGTTCCTGAAACTCAGACCTCACCTGCGGAACTTTAAATTACACCCAGCCACTTGTCGTAAACAACTTGCGCGTGTGGACCAGAGTGTGTGTGTGTTAGCTGGCTGGGTCATGTAGCCCGCATGCCCAGCCACCGCATGCCTAAACAGCTTTTGTTCGGCCGGATCGAGGGGGCTAAACGGGCGCGGCACGGGCTAGAGAAGAGATGGAGTGATGTGGTACAGGAGGACGTGGAGCTGAGTGGACTTGCCGATGACTGGTACCAGCGGTGTCAAGATCGGCCTCTGTGGAGGAGGCTCGTGAAGGATGCTACTGGGCAGTTAGAGGTAGTCGCCCTCCAACAACAACGGAGGGCGGAGGATCGACGCTCACAACAACGAGCGGAGCGCCGGGTGGCTAAAGCACAGCAGGTTGGCACAGTAGGGGGCACAGGTGGTGCATCAGCCAGTCATCTCAGTCATCTCAGTCAGTCGACCCGTGGCACCTGGGTCTGCCTCGTGACCTCCTGCCAGTGGGCGTTCGACACTTCACGTGGCCTCAAGGTGCACCTAGCCTGGCACAAGCGTGTGTGCCAGTGTGTGCGTGTGTGCCAGTGTCAGTGCCAGTGTGTGCCAGTGTGTGCGTGTGTGTGACAGTGTGTGCCAGTGTGTGCGTGTGTGACAGTGTGTGCCAGTGTGTGCGTGTGTGCCAGTGTGTATGTGTGTGTGCCAGTGTGTATGTACCAGTGTGTGCGTGTGTGCCAGTGTGTGCGTGTGTGCCAGTGTGTACCAGTGTGTGTGTGTCAGTGTGTGTGCCAGTGTGTGTGTACCAGTGTGTGCGTGTGTGCCAGTGTGTGCTAGTGTGTGCCAGTGTGTGCTAGTGTGTGACAGTGTGTGCTAGTGTGTGACAGTGTGTGCGTGGGGAGCGGTGGTGTGGTGGTAGCGCGCTGCGCTACGAACCCGGCGAACCGAGTTCGATTCCCCCTCACGGTCAACATCAGTGATGATTATTTGAACCGGTTCTGGGCCTCCCCTAGGTCGACTCAGCCTCAAATGAGTACCTGGTGCGGTGCGTAAAAACATCGCCACTAGGAAGACAAATGCGGCCTGGCATTGTGCTGGCCACACACCCCATCGTGTGCCGTTCTGGCCTTCCTAACAGCACTTGCCCCAACAGTCTGTTAAGGCTATACGGGGGATCTTTGTCTTTTTGCCCTGTGGTTAACGCGGAGCGGTGGCGCAGTGGTGAGCGCGCTGCGTCACGGACCCGAGTTAGATCCCCGCTCAAGGGCCAACGACAGTGACGATTTTCTGAACCGGTCCTGGACCTCTCCTAGGTGGACTCAGCCTCAAATGATTTAACTAATGCGGTGCGTATTAGACGTCAGCACTGGGGAGACAAAGGCGGCTGAGCGTTTTGTTGGCCACACCACCCCCTCGTGTGCCGTGCCGGCCTTCTTCGTACGTGCTCGCTAACAGCACTTGATCCAACAGTCTGCTGAGTCTATATGGGGGATCTTTGTCTTTGTGTGTCTACGTGGGTCTCTTATGTGTTTACAACACCCCAGTTAACATGCAACGAAAGTTGTTCTAACGTCAACCAACGTTGGCCTCTGTGTGTTAGGCCTCTTTGCTATTGCGACACTGCGTAATCACCGCTGCGGTGAACTGCACAGTGCTGCCGTTGTAGTGACTGATATTAAACCCGGCGGACCTGAGTTTGATTCCCGCCCACGGCTAACATCAGTGGCGAGTGGCGTCTGAACCGACCCCACGTCTGTGGCTGTGACACCACCCTTCCACCCATCGCCAAACCCGCACTGCCCAGCTTGGTGAAGTATGGTCAAAACAACCCCATGACCCCCCTCCCCAACGCACGGCTTGGGGAGCCAGTCATCCAGCAGTGGGTTGAGAAAAGTGCTGCAAATGCCGCACAGTACGCACAGTGCCTTATTAAGCTATTGCGGGGCCTGTAGCATATGTTATAGAGGGGCCCTAAATAAAAAAAAACACGTAAATATTAAAACACAATTTTTTTTACTTGCATAGCAAAGTAATTGTATTTTTTTATTTGCTATACAGCCAGATAATACGACAGATCGCTAACCTTAAACACCCAGTCGTTCATAAAAGTTGAAGACGGTATAGTACTATAGTCATAGAGCAAGTGCAGAATCACTGAACCGGAATTAATAGCTTGAAAGCATTTAGTGCGGGGCCCTTGAAATTGCGGGCCCGTAGCTACTACATATGTAGCTACTTTTGCTTCTAGGGATAATCTGGCACTGAGTACACAACCGGACAGCAATTAATTAACAAAGTTTTTTTTAATCATACCGTATTCGCATTTATGACCGTATTCCCCGTATTATAAGACGCACTCCCTCCCCCCACTCTCGTAACTAAAAGTTCTGGTGGGTTTGTGTGTGTGTGTCAACGGGTTGCGGGAGGCGTCTTACTTTCCAGAGTGTCTCATAATTCTGGGAATTACGGTGACCCGATATTATAATTACTATGGCACGGCACTCATAAGCCAATACAGGGTTAGTCCACGTTATAGGCGTAGCTGAGTCACCTGTGGGGCGCGCGTCTGTGCTGCGTGTCTGTAGTGATTTAAACTTTCCACTTTTCTGGGTAGAATGTTCCTGAATAGTTTCGCAAGGTAATACATACATTCCAGCAGAGTGGGCGGGGGGGAGGTCATCTAAATATGAAAGGGCACGCTGCCATACGTGTGTGTGTGTGTACAGACTTGTAAAGCCACGTCACCGATGGGACATGTGCGACTACCCGGTTCTCTCGAGATCTCATCTGGCTCAACAGAATTTTGCGGCGCTCTATCTGACAGCCCTTGGGAGTCTCAAAAGGCTTTGCAGGAGCATCCTGCGTCGGAGATGTTTGGCCAAATTCTCATACAAGTGCAGCCACTTTGTCAATCTGCTGCCGAAATGAGGGGCTCCACATTTCACGTTGGCCTTGGTGGAGGGGGCAATTTGACCATAATCCCTCTCGATGGTCAGTGCGGGTTTGTGAAGGCACAGCGTAGATGTGGGCGCATAGAAGTACTGTACAGCTCCCTGTCCTCCACTTACTTCACCTTACCCCGAAGCCTAGAACAACTGCCAAGCGTAGTGATTTACTCATGGAAGTGATATCCACGCTGTGTATTGTTTAATAAAATATTTTAGAGCTGCCCTCGCGCACACACACACACGTCCGATTAGTATGGTTGGCTACGTACGATGCGAAGTAAGTTCACCCACCATAGTATACATGCCGATGTCACCATATACATTAGGTTGCTGGGGAAATGCTATTTGCCAGCTCCTATTAAGGTCACAACACAGAGCAGGTTATGGGACGAATATTCACGCTGATCAAATCACCATACCGGATATCAATTTTAGTCGACCTGAGCAAGGCCCAGCCCAGATTCAGACGATATTTGTCACTGATGTTAACTCCAAGGTAGAAATCGAACTCAGGTGACTGGGTTCTAAGTGCGGTGCGATATCTGTTATACCTACCGCTTCCCCACACTATACACATACGCAGCCAACCACACTGGTGAATACATTTTAAACAATGAGACAATCTTATAGTTCGCCATCGCTCACACTTAGAATGTCTCCACAGTGTAATCGCCCCACCACGTTGGCGTGATCATACACGGAAACATCACTTAGTTTTGTGCGTTAATGCATTACAGGAGCGTGCGTATAAACAACGGGGCTCTTCCATACATTACCGAAAATCGAGGTGGCCATGTGGCTCAGAGGGCCCATGAGTCCATGATCTCAGACCAGATATTGCACTTGTCGCTACCATCGGAGGTGGCAACCACTTTATCGGTTATAATTTCCTGATGTGGCCCAATCACAGTGTATTACGTGATAGCCATTTGAAATGATGGAGCTAGCAAATAATTCACTCTCTATTAGCCACGTAAATAGATTGGTGCTATTGAAGTTACGAACTCTTAGGCGGTACCAGTTTCTGCTCTGGGCCATGGACTATACTATATCGGAATGTTGAAATACTGGGTTGGAATCCAGGTTCCAGCCACCTGTGATTAAACCGAGTTCTAAAGTTGGTAGCCTCATCTAAGGGTTATGAAGTGTTTGGTTTGACTCAGATATCAGATATTATATCTTTAGTAAGGTACTACCGAGTCTGTATAAGGTGTGGCTAAGAGGATATTGAAAGGACTTCAGAAGTACTTCAGTGATGTCATCTTGCACGGGCCATTTTATAACATGGGGTGATGGTACACCACTTTCCATGAGAGTTCCAAATGATAGTCATTATGTTGTTACACGACTGCAGCAATGTCACAATTGCAAGATAATTTGGGGATGAAGGGTAAAATATAGAAAAATAACAAAGCTGCTTAATTTGTTAAGTACATGCATGTCGAGAGCCCTTTCCAAAACCACTGCTGGATGAGGACTCTCCTACACCTTGTCAGGTCGTACATGACCATGCTGGTCAATTCTGGTTGGTTGGCTGGGAGCAGGGACATGGGAGCATAGAAGTGCAGTACAACAATGTTTTTTGCGCTGACCTCTGCTGTTCACCAAGTAGTAGCACCCATCCCACCACGACTCAAAACTCAACCCTGTTTGGCTTCCGAGATCTGATGAGATGAGCCACATTCCTGGTGATTTGGTTATCAGCAAATACCGGGATGTGAACCCTCTTAACGTATTACCCCGGGTCTCCCTTGCAGAGATGTGCTTAACTGGTCTATCAGCGGGGTTTAATTACTTTTACGGGAAACATTGTATCGTGGAATACTGCAAATTGACGGCACAGAGATGTACAATTCCGTACTGATAAATAAGTGGCGTAGCGATTAGTTTTTCGCCCGTAGTTATT